AATAAGGAAGATGTGAGAAATATAACGGAATATTATTAAGACACAAGAAAGGAGGAACTCCAGGCATTTGTGACATCATAGATGGACCTTGAGGACATTATACTAAGTGAATAAGTCAAACTGAAAAAGACAAATAATATAGGATATCACTTATATGTGGAATCTAAAAATGGCAAACCCATTAGAAACAGAGGTATAATGGTGATTACCATGGACTGGTGAAAGAAAGATTAGTGGGTAAGAAGAAGTTGGTCAAGGGTATAGATCTGCAACTCGACAATGGTTAAGTTTGGGATCTGTAGTGATTATACCCAACAATACTCTTTATATACTTGAAAGTTTCTAGAGACTAGATCTTAAATGTTCTCACCACACACATAAAAAGATAATTATGTGACCTAATAGAGGTGTTCACTAATGTTAGGTAGTAATCTCTATATATAAAATCCTAATGTGCCAATAGACCTAGTGGTAGAACAACTGAACAACCGAGTAACCAGTCACTATGACGTGCACTGATCACCAGGGGGCATGCGCGGAACATGGTGGGCATTGGCTGCAGGCAGCAGAGTGCAGAACAATGCAGGCATTGGCAGTGGCGGGATGGTGGATCTGGTGAGTGAAGGTGCCAGACCATGGAGGGGTGCTGGTCACTATCATCAGGGTGAGACTCTGGTGGTTACCGAAAATTCTGTGCTCCCGCATGCCATGGTCCCTCTGGGTGCTCACACCTGCTGCTGGCACAGGCCCCACTTTCACCCACTGCCAGCACCAGAGCCACTGCTCACACCCACTGCCAGCACCCAGTGCCAGTCCGATCATTCAGTGCCGTTAGTAGTTGCCAGTGGCTGCTGCAGGCCCCAACCACCCCTCAGAGTTTCTCCACCTCCCCCTGCTCCTGAGGAGCAATCCAGTCCAGCAGCCTCCTCTTGCACCTGCTGCCAGTAATGGCCCTGCTCACACCCATAGCCAGCAATGTAGCTGCTGCTCACACCCACTTCCGGAGCCAGCCCTGCTCACACCCGCAGCCGGAGCCAGAGCCACCAGTCACACGTGCTGCTGGCACCCGACACCAGTCCCAATCATCCCTGAGGGCTTCTCCCCCTCCCCCTGCTTCTGAGGGGCAATTGGGCCAGCAGCTGCCACTCACATCCCCTGATGGCGCCAGCCCCATTCGCACCCGCTGCTGGCACCATCAGCACATGGGAGCAGTGGTGGCAGGAGCAGGGCTGCCGGCAGACAGGGGACGTGGGGCCACAGTGGGAGGGGCCAAGGGGAGATGTGGAGGATGGGCCGAGACCCGCCCCAGTGCCCACTGCAGTCTCACAGCCCACAGTTCCTTTCAAGGTGCATGAATTCATGCACTGGGCTCATAGTTATATCTATACTAATAATAGAGGAATTTACAAATTGTCTAGGATGCCGTCACAATAACAGTAATGACCAAACAGCAGGCTGTGTAGGGCGACCAGGCTGGCAGGGGGGTTAGTGAGGGACGACAAAATGACTGAACACCAGGCTGCGGGGGACAACCTGGCTGGCAGGGAGGTTAGTGAGGAATGAACAAACGACTGAACACCAGGCTTTGTGGGGCTACCAAGCCTGCCGGGGGAGCGGTTAGGGACAATCAGGCCAGCAGGCAGAAGCAGGTAAGGGTTATCAGCCTGGCAGCGGGGTGCAGTTCGGGGTGATCAGGCAGGCAGGCAGGTGAGCATTTAGGAACCAGTGGTCCTGGATTGTGAGAGGGATGTCCGACTGCCAGTTTAGGCCAATCTCAGGGATCGGGCCTAAACTGGCAGTCGGACATCCCTTGAGGGGTCCCAGGTTTGAGAGGGTGCAGGTTTGGCTGAAGGCCCTCCCCCACCCCCCTGTATGAATTTCATTCACCGGGTCTTTAGTTATAATATATAAATGAATCAATATAACACACTATACACCATAAACTTACAGAATGTTATATTTCAATTGTTTTAAACAAAAGCTTGAAGCAATTATTAGAATGAGAAAGTAAACTTTTTTATGTTAGAAGGGTTGGGTATTTATTTTTCAGAGAAAAAAACAAGTAAACAATTTAAAAGAGAAAAATCAGCGGGATGGGCGGCGGGGCAGAGGGGATAGATGAATATGAAGTTTGGACCAGATATCCATAAAATGTTGTCTCCTTACACATTTGGGGGTAGGGAGCTAGAAAGTGCATTGAGCAATCAGGAATTTTTCTAGCACTTAAAGTAATAAAATTTGAAAACTGATAAAAAACCAGGACCACAATCAGAATAATTCTGAAACAATTCCAGGTGAACGTGACTTCACCAGCAACTTTAAATACATCAAACTGAGCTACCCAAGAGGGTGACCAGGTCTTTGCTGCAGAAAGCCCAGTTGTACCTCTCCCACTATGGGACAGGTGCTCCCTGGGAGAGTCAACAAGGTGATGATGAGGGCCCCTCACAGCCAGTTACATATAGCATATTCTACTGGAATGTACAACATGATTTTCAGAGCAAAAGGAGTCATACACATACATGTCAGAAACATGGACACTCAGATAAATAACTATAAAAGGATAATTCTGGGTTATAAATAGGAATCTTAAGGCTATTTCATGGATATTCTGGACAATAATACCAGATTCCTGAATTATAGTAATCCTCCAGCGTGTAAGAAGTGATTTAGGGAGAGAGGTCCAAGATTTCAGCATAGGAAGACCCTGAACTGACACCTTCCCATGAACACTCAGAATGTACACCTACATGAAGAGCATTTCCTCCTAAAAAAACATCTGAGGGTTGACAGAACAGCTTCTGCACAACAAATGAGAGAGAGACTGTGAGAGAGACTGTAGAGAAGGTTGAGAAACTGAGAGAACTCTCCAAACTTTGTGTAAACTCTTTGTGATTTGAGGTGGCTGTGAGTGCCAATGTTTACATTCTCTTGCCACTGACAGCATGGGCAAGGATTTAATTCAAGTGCTATAGCTCACCTGCAAGGCCACCATAGCGTGCCCTAGGCCACTCACCCCATACCCACGCCAGGCTCAGAAAGACAAACTGCCATGGCAATGCTGCAGCCATATGCCACTGGCTGCTCCAAACCCAGCCATCCAGGCTACCAGGGTGCCCACAGAGCTGGGCACACTGGGAAAATTGGTCATGTTTGCCTCAACTGTGGCTAGCCTGTATGCTAGGGAACACCTGGTACCTCATACAACCACTTCAATTCCAGCCAGCCTGCGGAAGACATCCCTCACACACGGACTACACAAAGATCATTCCTACACAAAGCCACTCCATCAAGTTCAGGAGAGGTGGCCGTTTCATCTAATTCTTAGAAATAAACACAGAAAGGAAAATAAAGGAGGGAATACAGAAGACTCGGAGTCAAAGCAAATTGATCTAATACACAGAAACAAACACAAAGAGACAGCAAGTATAGGCAGACAAATGAGCAGGTCCCAAATGAAAGAATAGAAGAAATCTCCAGAAAAAGAGCTATACAAGAAACATACAACCTTCAATGAATGAAACAGGAAGAAGCATAAAAACTGAACATATCCGTTACAAGCAAGAAAATTGAAATAGTAATTTAAAAAAACCCTCCCAACAAACAAAAGTTCAGGACCAGATAATTTCACAAGTAAACTCTACTGAACATTTAATTCTACCAAACAATTAATACCTATCCTTCTCAAAATATTCCAGAGATATTGTAAAGGAAATAACACTCACAATCTCTTTCTATGAAAGCAGTCAGCAGTACCATGATAGCAAAACCAGACAAAAACAATACAAAAAAAAATTCATAAGCCAATATCTCTGATAAAAACAGATGTGAAGAGAAACCAAGATGGCAGCATAGGTTAACGCCAGGGTTTGCTGCCTCGAACAACCACTTCAAAAATACAACTAAGAGACGGAACGGACATCATCCAGAACCACAGGAAGGC